AAGGGGTCGGCCCGGGCAGGAAGCCCTTGTCTGTGCTATAAAGAAAATAGCAAGCAACAAAATGAAAGCATCAAAGGACCAACAGGATGCGGTCCCAGGAGTCCTCTCTGGCATGTTAGTCCTTCTTGAAAGTTAGCATTGAGTGAAGAGTGACCTTAAAACTCGCTTCATTCAAACAGACTGGGCTCAAGTTTAAAGTTCAAGGCATTTTGTTTTTTCACCTGTTTCCTACAGTTTCAAGAAACTTCTGAAGAATTAATGTGTAACTATATCTGGTCACCGAGCCAACGCGGAGAATTTTTCTCAAGGGAAAATAATGTTACTGTATGGAGGGAGAGAAATGGATACTTTCTGAGTTGGGAGAAAAAGTTTCAACAAAATAAACCCAAAACCCCTGCTACTGCAATTGCAAACAGCCCTGGAGCCGGTACAGCGCACACCCTATTTCGTATTTTATTTTCAAAAGAAGCTGGTAGGATCCAATAACGGTCTGGATTGTGGTAAAAGGATGTTTATTGTCGAAGCTGCTGCTGCTTGGGAAGCGAGGTCTTGTTTGGGGCACAACCCTGGGAGCAAAGAGCCTGGTTGTGGCGCTTCAGCTTCATCTGCGAGCGCGTGTTGACTGAGCCAGCGACTGGCCCCGTGGCCGCCCATCCCTCCCTCAGCTGTTTGGCTCCGAGAGGGAAAGCTAAAGCCCTGACCCAAAACTCCATCAGTAGGTGAGGGCAGGCATAGATTCGGTGATGCAGCCCCACCACCACTAATGCTGAGCGGCAAGCCAGGCTGCTGGCCGGCGCTGGTTACGAGACGCTGTTATTTTCGCCCAACAGCATCTTCTACCTGCACGATCCTGAAATAGTGACTTTATTTTCTCATCTTTGCATCTCATGTAATGAAGCAACTAGTAATTGATCCCGCGAGCGGTCCAGCAGGTCATCTTTCAGAGCTAAAAGAAATAGTTTGAAGAGATGACATAAAGATTTCACTCGCATTTCCCCATGCCATTAAATTTTAATGATTCTGGCATGAATATTTCATGAAAGTACCTTCTGAATGGGTTTGTTTTGTCCTGGCAGCTAATACTCACTATAGAGTCTGGGGGGTTTTTTTGTTTGGTTTTTGGTGGGTTTTCTTTTCCTCTTAGGTGGTTTAGTGTAGGTAAGACGTGTCAAACTGGATTAAGTGAGAAAAGGTAACTTCTCATTGGTGATTCAGCGAAGGGACGCGGGCTGTAACTCTTTTCAGCTGCTTAGTGGAAGTCTGTGAAATGACCCTCAAATAAAATTCTGCTCTTTACTCTCCTGCCACAAGGTGGCTAAAAATCTTTTGAAAGCCCACGATATGCGAGTGCTAGAAATGATGCTAATACGGCTAACAGCCTTTCTGCAACGCGAGACGGGGCACGCAGGAGACCAGATTTATCGCGCAGAAAACTTGTAGAGGTCTTATTTACATGGAGCGACATTCAGAAAATGTTTTTACCAAGTTTATTGCAATCACGCCTCACGCAGGGTTGTCTGGGATTGGCTTTGTTGGTGGTTTTTTTTTTAATAGAAGAAGTCATCGCACCCAGCCCATCTTGTGTGAGCGACAGAGCTGCTGTGGACCACCGTGATGTGATGGGGAGCTCAGCGGCCGCCTGCCCGCGAAGCCCCAGCTCTACCGGTACATCAGCCTCACGGCTCTGCGCAAACACTGGCTGAAATGTCAGATTCCCACTCCATCTCCGTTTGCATACCGCTTGCTGCACCCACCTACTCCAATGCTAAACCAGAAACACTCACCCAGAGCTGGGTTAGCGAGGGTTGGGGTTGTCGCTGTTGAATTCTGTGGGCCCTGCACCAGGATGACATCTGTGTTGCTTTAAATCGGTAACCTTTCCGAGTAGCCGGCTGCTGCACCATCAGAAAGGCATACTTCGTTTTCACGAAGGGTAACA